AAGGTGTTACTTTCATCCTCTGTGTGATCAGAAGAAATTTTATTCCACACACCATTCAGTGCAGTCCAGTGAGCTGCCCAGGTCCGCCCAGCCTACTATTCCATGCTTTGGATGAAGAGCCATCTTTCCCATGCCCCAGCTGGAGAGCATGGGGGGACCAGAGACAAGCCTCTCACCACAAGTACCTACTCAGCCGGGTCCCCATAATCAGGCTGAGAGGCCAGATGTCAGTGTCTGGGCAAGAGCAAGGTGGAGCTTGCTTCTGCAGCTACCCAGGGAGCAGCACAGGATTCAGGAGGGCAGCAGGATCTGCAGCACACTTGGAGGAACATTTTGAGAGCATGTGTAAATCTGCACTCTGCTCTGCACACAGCTCCACACCTGCCAGCCAAGGCACCAGTGCAAGCCCTTACCACCACTTGTCTACCTGTCCTAAAAGTTGGCATCCTTGGCACCAGAACCACTCTTGAGTTTGACAACAAGCATGGAGCATGAACTGTTCTCAGCTGCTGTCCCACAGGGCTTTTACTAGCTAGGGATAATTTTTTGTGACTCAGGGAGGGCTGGTCTTGACAAGTGGTTTGATGCCAAAGCTATTAAAGCTGATGCTGCCTTTGGACTGAAATGCAAGACAAGGGGTTTGATGCTAGATCTGAAAGAACTTTATGCTGCCTGCAATGAGTGCCTCCAGCTTCATCTGCTGGTGAGTCACTTAGGAGTGTCTAATTCCATGACTCTTAGGAAACAAAACTTCACCAACCAGCTCTTCTGTTTAGAATGGTGTGAGGGAGAATTCAAGGGCTTGGTTCCCTGCAGCCTGGTGCAAAACAGGGTCAGATGCTTCCTTTCCAATTTCGTAGGGTTTTCTAGCAAGCTTGCCCTAGTGTAGAGATTTGGAAGCTTGCAGAAAAACAGAATGGAACATGCTGTTATGCCACTGGAAATCCTGGATAAGGTATCCACCAAGCATAAGTCAGTTAGCCCCTGTATTTCATAGATAGTGAATAATTTCTCAAACATAGTGATGGATGCTGTGATGGATAATACAATGCAGCGTGTGTTACTGGCCAGTACCAAAGTACTGTTATGAGATCAGTGATTCTGGGTTTGCGTCTTTCCATTTCTTGTTCCTCCATTGCTGTTCATATCTTCTAGCCCTGGAGAGCCTGTAGTCCTGCTCCCCTCCTCTCTCTTTCCCTGCCCTGAGCTGAGGAGCCCCCCAGAGTGATAGTGTCATCAAGCAGGGAGTGTAGGAAGGAGGATGAGCAAAAGAGAATTGCACCCCACTCTCCTTTTGTGGCTTCTGGTGCTCTTGAAGCTCCAGTCTTGTCTCAGCCTTTGGCTGGGAAGGGCACTGTGTGCACTGTGGGGAGGTGTGAGGGCCACTGTCAGCACAAGCTTGTTCAGCTGCAGGTTCAGGGGAAGTTCCAAGGGACTTGTGTAAATCCAATGGGCAAAGTGAGCTAGTGAGGAGCTAGTGTGCAGAAACAGAGGCCAAAAACCTCTGAACCCCACTGGCCTCAGCCTGAAAAGATTCTGAAGTACCATGATATGGTCTTGACTCTATGAGTGACTCCAGTAACACCTTCTTTTTCCCAGAGAAGAAGGAAATAAAATGAGGGATCCTGCACTAATTTCAAAGTGGATGCCCTGAATCAGAGTGCACCAAAATGTATTAGTCCCACTGATTCCCATCGTGATCAGTTTAAAGTTAATATTTTCTATTAGCAGTGTGTTTCCGTTCTGCAGAAGTAAAATCTACTTTTACCAAGTTGGATGTGCAGGGAAAAATTAAAAGACCATTAGAAGAAGAACTAGTTAAGAAAACAGTTAGCCTAATGCTGAGGTTCTCAGTTTTAAAAGCAGCAGTACATTCATCCAAAATAGTGCCATGTGGATGCTTTACACTTTTTCTTACCACGTTGTAGTATTCCATCACTACTCACAGGTAACTTGTTTTGTGTCTTCTTCATAACATCTTGCACAGAGTCTGGTCTCCAACACCAAATGGTAACATTCCAGATTCATCTGTGTCACACTAAGTGTATGATAGGAATTTTTTTCAGAAGTAAATTCTAGTGATGGAAAGGATTCCTCTGCAGGAAACCATTACTTTCTTTAAGTACCCTCCTAATCTACAGGATTTGAGTTATGGATCTGCTCTTCTCAGCCTGTGCCTTCACCAAACTATTGTCATGGGGCTGTGCTGTCCCTTGCAGGCACATGCTGTAGCCAGGAATGCAGGCAGAGTGAATCACAGTAAGTGAAGGGGTCTCTTTATGTACGCTATTAGCTATTCCTGGCCAGTACCGGGATTAATAACTGTTATTAGCATATCCTACTCTTAGGATTTCTTGCCCTTGCTATGAAATGCATGTAGACAACAGACTAGGTCCCTAATCTGAGATTATGATAAAGGTGAACTGATTTCCTCCTTCCTTTTTATTTTTGCTAGGTAAAATAATTGGTCTTGTCTCCATAGGGCCAGGATTTCAACTGAAGATTGAGAGACCCAATGCGAGGTTCAGAGTACCCAAAGGGGTAACATCTTGGGAACTGTCTGGATACTATTCTTTGCCCTTTCCTCTGACCAAACATGTCTCCATGTCTCCGTTATCTCTGTTAAAACAGGATTATTCTGCTAAACTCCTTTATTACCGGGCTTTGGAAAAGGCTGGAGAAAACTCTTGAAATACTGATGGAAAAACCATGGCACTTCTCACTTTCTAGAAATGTCCATATATAGCTAAATTTAGGCAGTCTCCAAGTGGATTTATTTATTCTAGCAGATTGCATGGTCCATGGCTTTCTCCAACACTACTCTGCTCCCCAGGTTTACATTCCTAGGGGCTGAATCCTGAAAAATCAGTTTTGAAGAACATTTTGTGACATATCTTGGCCAAAAAGTGCAAGTCTCCCTGTCCTGGCTTTATGGCCTGTCTGTTGTCAGATCACCTAAAAGGATCTGAATCCACCACCACGGTAAGTGTTGCACTGGCAGCAAGATGAAAGTAGCAATGTGCTTTGTGCAATAGGCATGTCACACATAGGTGTATGTGCTGCTGGTGATACGTAGCCCTTTTTTGCACATTTCTCCCAGTATTTCTGTTGTTTAATGTATCTGTTAATTTTCAGAGAAAAAGTGAGAGCTGGAGAAATTTTGCTCTTTGTGAGGAAATAGAAGCATGGCATTATGTCACCTTTTCCCAATCTCTTCATAGCTTTGCTGGTAGAGCACAGAGACAGTTTGGAGCTCCTTGTTCCTGGCTGTTTGTACTCCTGCTGTCATCAGCAATGCTGCTAATCTGAGGGGTACTGCAGTTGCCAGAGTGCTTTGGTGAGCAGGGCAATTCCCCAGAGGTTTAGCTGACATTGGGGGGTGTGTGTGGTCCTCATGAAGGAGTACCACAGATGTGCCATACTCAAAGTTTGTTACTTACCTGACTCATGTTGAGGCTTGATGAAAATCCCACCTCCTTGCCAGGGCTGCTTATGATGGGGTGCCTGACAGCAGCCTGACTTTCTCCCGGTTCTGCCCTGACACAAAAGCCCTGTGTGAATTTCTGCACCCTGCAGAGAGTTGAGGATTGCCAAGTTCCCAGAAAAGGACATTCTAACCATACTGACAGAGCAGGGCTTCATCCTAGTAGAGATCCCTTTGGGAGATCCTCTCTTTCTTCTGGCAGCTAGCCAATGACACTTATGCCTTTGTTCCTGTCCCCATTTCCTCCCTGTGACTCTGGCTGGCCTCGTGCAACCTGCTCACCTGCTGTCTAAAATGACTTTTCTCCTGGGTGGTGTGTAACTCCTGCTTTCTGGGTTTTTTCTGCAAGATGCTGCCCTTTTTCTGGAGTGGGAACTCACTCATCAGCACCTGGATGAAGAGAGCAGCAAGCTGACCCACTGTTACGCCTCTCATTTGCAGAGTTACTGCTGTGTCTGGTGGCTTCCAGTTACTAAGTGGCTTTCTTAGTGACTCCAAGTGTCTTTGCAAATTTGCCAATCCTGCTCTGGGCCTGGGCAGGGACAAGCATAGTCTGGGCTGTTCCACAAGCAGCAGGGCTCTGCACAGGGTGGTGCAGCTCTGTCCTTGCTGGCAGGACCAGCTCCTTCTCTCACTGTCAGTACTGAGGTAAACCTCGAGCAGCTCTGGCATCGGCACTCAGCCATTGCTGAGCAGAAAGGTCAGTGATGAGATTAGTGCCACCTGGACACATCCCATGCCCACTGGGCACCACTGGAGCCTCCTGGGGACCTGGCCTTGGGTATTGATCAGATCCAGGATGATAGGATGAGACAGGCTTTTTGGGGCTGCTTTCTCTCCCAGTGAGCACATAGTTTCTCAATTTATCCCAATTAAAATAATAAATAAGGATGATTAAAATAATAAAAAATATTGTGTTATTTTAATCATAGAAATCCGCCTCAGCAGCAACATTTTGTAAACATGTGTCAAAAATAGGCTTCAGTCACCATGTTTGTGTATCACCATGGCCTGGATTGCACTTGGCCTCCTTCCAGGAATCCACTTATTGTCCATGAGAGATTCTAGCAGGGAGGGTATCCAGACTGTGCAGTGGCCACTGACACCACTCATTTGACAACAGGGATTTTTTTCTTCCCTGTTCAAATGAGGGAGATATAGTTTATATTTATGGTCAGCAATAGCTGAAGAAATGCTCCCCTGTTCAGCTGTTCTATGCGAGTCTAAAGAATTCTTGCAAGATGAAATTCAGCACCATGAAGCATTTGATTTTTAGGTGGTGTGACTTGACCTAAATACCACCTTATAAACCATAAATAACCTGTTTAATAACATTACAAATTTCGTGGTATCATGTTCCCATGGCGTGTCTTCAGGGTCATGCAGGTTTATTTTTGTGGTCATCTGACAGGATGACTAAATTCTTTGTCAAGATCTGGTTTGTAGGAGAGTCTTGTGTTTCCTCGTGGTAGCTCTTACCCTGGGTTCCCAAATGTTCCAAATAATCAGTAAAGGGCAGGGAGAAATGAAACACAAAGTGGATAAAGGTGCCACCTACCATCTATCACATACACATTATGGTCCTTTCATGGCACGGTAGGCACCAAACCCTACTGATGTACAGACTTCATCCTGCAGGATTCTCATCTCATCTCAGGAACTGACTGCACTTTACAAAGTCCACAAAGGACCAGGACCTCTGCATAACAGCCTAATCTCACTTTTGGGGAGTGCAACTAGTAGTGGGCAAGTGATTCAAGGTGACTAGGAGGAGCACTTGCATCTCAGCTCTCAGTTTGCTCTCCTCTACCGCATCTGAAGGTCATCTCAACAGTGAAGAATTCCAAAAATGGAAATTGGGAGTGATTTGTGCTTGCGAGTTTCTAAATGTGGGAGTTTCACATTTTCAGGTGCAACTGCAGGTTTCCCTGCTACTTTGAAGAGGCTTGAAATGGACTCCTGAGGAAAAAAAAAACTACACTGTCCTCTTTCCCACCCCTACCTGAACTGGGGGAATGTTGCTTAACCTGCTGAGTCCAAAGCATGAGCTAGATTGAGAGGTGAGAAAATTATGTAAAGTGCTTGTGCTGGTGAAAGTCTGACGAAAGGAAACAACCCTGTTCTACTGAGAGAATGTGAAAGGTAAGAAAACAAGGCAGATGAAGTGATTTCATGTCAAAGTTTTGTCAGGGAAATGAATGGGACTTCATACTTCTCCTACAGAGGGATTTAAACTTCTAATCTCAGAAATTTTAGTTTCTGTAAAGCATGGTGATAAGGACATAAAGAAGGAGAATTCTCCCCCAAGTAAAATGTTCCTCCGTCAATAGATAACGAATACAGTGGGATCCAACAAGGAAATCAATCCATTGTGAGACTTCATACCAATGAGTAAAATGGATTTTTCTGTTGGATTTGGAATTTGGCTTTATTTGTAGGTTGGGGGGTTTTGTTGTTTTGAATTTTTTTAATGTCTGCATGGGTACTTCTGTGTCCTTTAAAAAGGCCACTCCTTCAAACAGACTTGACCTGACAGTGAAAGCAAGCCAGTGACTTTTCTTAGCTCAAGTTCTAAATGTTGCCAACAGATAAACTGTTTATAAGCTTAACACCTGACTAGGTGCTAAATAGCTCCAGCTGATAGAGCTTTTGGTGCAAAATTATCACTCCAGATTAAGACTGGAAACCCAAAGACCTGGAGTGCTAGAAAGGATTCAGGTAGGATTTAAGATGCATTTAAAAAGGTGTATTTACTGTATCTTCTCTAAGGTTGTGTAATTCAGCAGGATTATAGAGTTTGATAATGATAAACAAGTCTTTTACCTGTATGTAAACAACACAACAGGGAATTTATTTGAAAGAAAATCACCTAAGTGTTTTAATATGGCATTAAAACACAAATGGGTTTATCTACACCCAAGGAGCCTTCTGCAAGCTGGATCTGTGTTTAACAGCCTCCACTGGATGGTGGCCCCCTCATTCTAAAATAAATATTCCCCTGACCCTAGTATGTTTGTTATAAAAGCAAGTGAAAAAAATATCAAAGCTTGTTGGACTGGTTTGCTTGTTTGGAGAAGCTGACAGAGCATAGTTGACCTTAGACATGGTGGGAAGGGGGTCAGGGAGCAGGACTGTTTTCATTTTATAGTGTAATAAAAGTTTCAACATATAACAACCCTCTTGCATGGGGCTACAGGGGTCACAACCAATTTGCTGAAAAACACTCAACAATAAAACAGTCTGGAGCCTCTTCTACTGCAGCTCTAATCTCCTAATAAAGAAGTGGAGATAATCAGACTGTGTCATTCACAAAAGGGCAGAAGTAGAATTTCAGGGCTGTCTCACATCCTCATTGCTCCCATCCAAGCATGTGCTGCAGAGCCATTTCGGGGCAAGATTCACAGACACCCGGAGCAAGGGAGTCCAACCATAGTCAAAACCCAAGTCCTGGGGCCTGAGGATGTGTCTGCGTGGTCTGAGAAAAGTGCTGAGCAAGGCCATATATAGGTTGCAATTTGTCCAGACAGTTTTCTTCAGGTTGGCCCCACCTGAGTGTGTATGGTTGTGTGGAGCCAGGAACAAAACAGAACTAACAATGGAAATGGGCAACAAGGAGGTCAGGAGGTTCAGGATGCTTATAGTCACTTTGAGTCCAGTCTGTGCTTGCAGGGATAATGTGGTATAGTCGTCCAAGCACCACTGCCCACTTCTGCAGGCTCAGCAGACCTGCTGCCTGTTGTAAATGGTTGGAGTTGCAGGTCTAAGGGCTTCCTGTGCAAGAGGTATGCTGTAGAGCCCACTTTCAAAAGCAAGCTCAACAAGGCAGAAATTAAACAGACTCTTTGTGAATCCTTTCAGCAACTTCATGTCATCTTGGGTCCAACCCAATTCCTCAGTGGACATCATCAATTAATTGTGGTAATGCTGCTGAGCTGCTCTATGCAGTCCTGTCTTACTTTCTCCCCAAGCACAGTTGTATTGATAAGCTGAAGAATTCTGCCCCTTATGCTGGTATCAGCTGGAGGAGTTTGTGTTCCTAGTTCCCAGCCATGAGGCAATGCAGATCCCAGGGTCAAATTGGGTTGCTGCTATTATTGAAGGGATCTGTCTCTCTCACCCCCTACCCGCCCCTTGGCTGTGCTGACCAGGCACAGAGGCTCAGCCCATAAAGCAGGTCTGACTCGCTCCCTGCTGTTCCTGCCATCAGCTGCCAGGTGCACCACAGCACTGCACAGCTGATTGCTGGTAACCAGACCCAGCTCAGGAGCAAACCGAGCAGTGCCAGTTGCTGTTATTACAGTAAAGGAGACAGCAGGTGCCTTAGAGTAACACTGTCAGGCAATTTGACACTGTTTTTCAGCAGGAAATCCTTCATATACTTTGTATTTAGCAATTTTGCTCTCTAGCTGTTGCAGTCTGCAAAGAAAATGGAGAAACACACAAGACAATTCTAGAAGTCAGTTCAAACAGTAAGAATGAAAGGTGTTGTTAAAGGGACCTTTTAGTGTCAAAGAAGCTTTTAATCACGTTATGCCTCATGAAGACAATTTCTGTGATGTTGAAGGAGTATATAAAACAACTATCCTTTGAGGGGGAAAATCAGTCAGTTCTGACAGTTCAGTCTCCCCATGGTCTGAAAAACAGTAATTTCAATAACCATAATACTTAATAATAGCAAGTATTAATGTTCTGTGGTACTAGACATTTACAAGACCTCCTCCCAAATACTACATGCAGTGTGCCCAAAAGGCTGCCCCGGAACACACAGGTGCAGTAGGGAGGTCTGAGCAGAGAGCCTGGAACAACGGGAACTTGGCTGGCTCACCACTCCTGAGAAAATATCCCAGAGTGGATACCATTGCTTTCTATAAATAAAGCAAGGGCATCACATCAGGGAGAATGGAGAGCCAGCTGAGCTAAAGGATAGAGTTAGCAGCAAAAGAAATAAAGGACCATGAGTCAATTAAAAAAACACTTGTAATCAGTGGAAAGAGGTTTTGAACATGTTACTGGGTGTAACAGGAGCTTGGGTTAGAGTCATGTTGGACACCATCCCTTTGCATCCCGTCCTTGCAAGTTACAGCCTCTTGAAAGCCCTGTAATGCTGGGTGTGCCTAAATCACTCAGCACTCCCCCACAGGCATCAGGAGCCTCTGGGGAGCTGCAGGCCCTGTGTCACCACATGCCCAGCACTGCTCAGGATGAGCAGCTACATTCATTGCTCATCCCTGAGCCCCATCAAAGGTGGTTGATCACCAGCTGATATCCTGGGGGTTAAACCTGGAGGGCTTCTCATCATGGTCAGGAGCCACTACTGTACTTAAATCAAGACTAGAGGAGGGGAAGAAAGTGCTCCACCACCCACATTTTTTAGGCAGCTGTTTTATTGATAAATAGGATAAATAACAGTTTAATTCCTGCTGACTGCAAAAGGAACCTGAGCCCCCAAATTTCAAGCTCTCTTTTGGTTGAAATCAGCATTTTTCTTGTCCAGCTCAGCTGTTCTTGAAGCCTCTTTTTGTGTTTCACCCAGATTTCCTCATTCCTTTTTGATGGGTCTCATTATATTCTGTATGAGGATTGTGCCTAATGTTTATTTACAGCAGGGGACAAAACCTAAAAATGCAACGAGTCCTTTTTAGTACCTTGCTCCTATTACCAATACTGCAACATCATGGTAATTTATTTTACTAACAGAATGGATGAAACAACGACCATGCAGGAGGTCAGACGAGACCGTGTGCAGTCAGACACAGCCCTGTGTTACAGTCTGATATTGTGGCAGAATGAGCTTAGCCCTACCTGATTCTCAATTTTCAAGCTCTGCTACCAGTTTATTTTTCTCTCCCTCTGTCATTTCATTAAATTATGTTTCTGCTCTGTAGTTTGTGCTGCCTAATTTCCTTTTCCCACTGTCTTAAAAAACTTAAAAAATAAAAGTTTGATTCTGGTGCAAGACAAATTAAATGCTGCATTTAACAGGTGAATGAGGAACCATCTTTTCTTTCAATGATATTCCTAGTTACAGACTTTCTGTTGAGACATCCTGATTTAATTATTTGGACAAGTCATAAGTTCAGTGATGCCAATGCAAACTCAAAGGGAATCAGCTGTATTTGTTGGTGTTATAATCAGGTTAGTTAGAAGAGGGCAGGATGCATCTACTTGTCTCTAGGACATTTTTCCTGAGCCTACTCAATGCAGTGATGGCTTGAAAAGATCTTAAAACAATTCTGGATTGATAATAGGGAAGTTTAATATTCTGATTTTTATATAGATTGATTGGTTTCAGAAGCAGCTACAGATTTGAAAATCTTACCGGGCAAGGTCATTTCAGTATTTTTTGTTATTTCAGCATATCTTTTAGGTTCAATATTAAGTTAAATGGAAATGTAGCATTAAATCTGATGTATTTTATTAGATTTTGTTTTTAAAATAAATATTACACTGCATGTTTGGAAACAGCTCAAGAATTTGCTTTGGAATCAGACCTTGCATGAAAAACACCAGCTTGCAGTGGTAAGATTTTTTTCCCTAATACAGATCAGCTCAGTTGGTCATAGCATGGTGCTAAATAATGGCAAGATTTTGGGTTCTGTATGGGCCATTGACTTAACAGTTGGACTTGATGACCCTTGTGGGTCCTTTCTAACTCAGAATATTTTGTGATTCTTGATTCTGTGATCCTGATAGAAAGCAATGATACATGGTGTATTGTCATGGCATACAACCACACAGCTCTGCCTGATAGTGCATGATAGCAAAGGTGAGGAAGGATTGTGCTGAGGCAAAGAAAGGAGTCTCTTCTATTGCTCTGGCATCAGCAGTTTCGATGCCAAAGGGGTTTTGGTCTGAGCGTTTACAAAGATGGCTCTACTTTGAGATGTTCTGCATATAAAATGAATGGGTGTTTTTATAAGAATTTCTATCCATGCGGGCAGGGCTCCTTACGAAGACAAAATGGACTAAATACAGACTGAGAGAATATAAAACACACCTGTCCAGCTTCCTGACAAGCTGGTGCAAAGATTATACTTTAGGATTGCACACAGGTGCCAGGCAGCCAATACATGACATGATATTGCACAATGAAGAAAAGTGAGGTTTCCAACAGGAGGATTCAACACAGAAATTACCAGCAT